GTGTGTGTGTGTGTGTGTGTGTGTGTGTGTGTGTGTGTGTGTGTGTGTGTGTGTGTGTATACGTGATACATGCAATATTAAATAAGTGTACATTAATTATTACTCACGCGATAAAGATTAATGCTCAATGATAGTACTCCTAATGGCAATAATAATGAATACGCCCATGTATAATTTCTTTTCAACATTTCAATAAATCTAAATAACAATAAATCTTAAATATGCGTAAAGAAAATATATTCGTACGAGTGACTATAAATTATTTTCATTGCCTGTTAATTTACACGATTTATATTTGTTACTTAAATGTGCTAATAATTTATATTCTTTATAAAATTTCGTAGTCTATGTACTTGATGGAATTAAGATTAGAAAATTTGAAAAGAAATCACAATAAAAAATGCACAATTAAAAAAACTTTTAATTACATATTATAATTACGAACTCGATTGCTTTTCTATACATATTGAATCCATTGATTACCCCTTGACACATCGTTATCGAACTTTTTTCGGAAGAAGATGCAATACCTTGTATCGTATTTTCGAACAATGTTTGTTCTATGCGATAGCTGCAATTGATAATGTAAATGTAGTTTTGTATAAATACGTTTTGTATAGATACGTTTTTGTATAAATACCGTTATTAATATAATTTCTTAAAAAACGTAACTTTGTTTTACCTGGCTATTTCAAATAAACCGCACGCATGACATGTGTAAGACATATTAATTGTTTCGGTAGCTATTATCATAGTGAAACCATATATGGCAGCAAAACAAATAAAAAACAAAATTTGGAAAAAATATTTTTGTTGATCTATAAAACATTCAATTAGAATTGGGAGCTGTCGTGGATGGGATACATTTTTATCAGATGTAGTATTAAAAAAAAAATTTGATAGAAACTGTACTAGAATGAAGCCAAAAATGGATACATAGATAAACACTGTAATTAAACAATTAAAAATCAGAATTAAGGTGATTGAAATCTAAAGTACGAAATAAATGTTCAAATATTGCTTACATGTTGCAATTAATGTGATGAATCTTCCAATATCTGCATATTCTTTTATTATTTTAATTTCTTGCAAATTATTTAATTCATTCCAGTCAGAAAGTATTCGTTTCATAAGATTTCGCATCTGTGTTCATAAAATAATTGATATTTATTATCTTTTTCCGAAAATATTTTAAATAAAATTGACAATTATTGTTTTCTTTTTCTACAAGTTTTATTATAAGTTGATTTCCGATAATCTTACCTGTCTTATATTTAGGCAAAGAACATTATACTTTAACGTATAGCCTAGCCATGGAACGCTGTATGCGAGGACTTGTAGAAAAATATTTACATTGTATTCTGTTGTGATGAAAGTCATTAGCTAAAAGTAATTTTCTTCACTATATTATTTCTACTTTTACATTAAAAATAACTTATTAATTAATAAGAAAAAATTTTTTTTTATTATACTTGAACGAAACAAGATATTTCTTATGATTTTTGATTGCTGAAAACAATTTTGCAAATTTCACTATTAGTCAGGTTTCCGAAATTGAGATATAATATGCTAAGCTTTGCGTTATTTGCCTTTTCTTTAAGACACATATTATCTGGATATATTCTGATTAAAAGCCATGAATGTATTTATTTCTTACAAAATATATTTGAGAAAATTTTAATAATGAAATGTTTAAAGGCAGAATTAATTTAGTTTAATAATAATAAGATATCAAATTATTCACCCATGTCAATGAAGTCATCTATATACATATACTTATAATTTCTAATTAGTTAATACACTTACCGTACAGTTTTTGTCCATAATATTCTTTTTTTAAATGTGTTTTTTGGAGATATTCGAGTTGACAAGTAATTAAAATGATCTACTTAACATGATTAAAAAGATATTGAAATATTAAAAAAATTAAAAACAGGAAATGAATAGTCATTTTATGACTTCTAATTAAAATATCAAGATAATATTAATCTTTTTTATAAAAAGAGTTATTTTTTTATGCTAAATCTCAATTATTTTGTAAACCTAATGTGTTGATAAAATTTGATTTGCGGCATAATTTTTAACTAAATCAAAATCATTAACTAGATTAAAAAAATCTGCAAAAAACAACTTATCTGATTCAAAGTTTTTGTAAATTAGTATAATTATATTTTGGTAAAAATAGTCTCAAAAAAATTATTCAAAATAAAAAATACAAATAAGAAATATTTATTTAAATATTACTAAATCTAGTAGAATTTTTTAATATATAACGTAATATAAACGGAATAATTCTTCTTTTTAATGAGAATTATGTATTAATATCTTTTAGTGTACTTCGGTTACTAATTTTTACGTTGAATAGTGTACAAAATAATTTATAAGACAAAAAATTATTGTACCTGTAATATCACACTCGATACAAGCATTATCGTTGTAAACATAATTGTGATATAATAGCTAAAAATAGATTTTTGACACGGCCATAATCCGATACAAAGTAACAAACTTCGATTAATTGTATAGTAACTGTTCACCGGACAATTTTGCCATCGCAATGCAAGTGTCATAACGTGTTTATACCGAATTTCTTTCCACAAGTTACTTCATATGTTCGATATGTTTGTAGTTTATAATTCGCAATTTGTATTTAAATAAAATACTGAACTTATGTGAAAAATTATGATAGAGTATCTATAGCTCACTATAATTATGCAAATTGTAGTTTTGATGAATATTTGGCTAGTCTATATGTATAACCTTTATACATTATTATTTGTATGAACCAATTATCTTTTTTCCGTGAAAATATATTTTTTTTTTACATTCGACCGACGCAAGCGCATTTGTAAAATCGTGCATTCACGCCAACCAATGGTCTTCATTTTTATTCGGGACGCAGAACGTTGCGATGCTTTTTTTGTGACATGTATGTGCTAATGCATTATCATCATTCTTGATTTACTATAATCACTGTGCTATTATAATCATCAAGATTGTTTTCTGTGTCTTCCTGATTAACATCGTGAAAATTATATTGTAAAAATTGATTTCGGATTATACGAAAATACTTAATTAATTTTACAAGCTACCATAACTGTTGATACAATATACTATTAGTTGTATTGTAATGTAATTAGGCTTAAAACACCATGAAGAATTTTTATTGAATTTTATTTTTATTATAATAGTTATTATTTTTATTAT